GCCGGAAAGTCTAGTTATTGAAAGTGCACGTGCGAACAGTTTAGCTTGTGCAACATGCGATGGCTGTGCTCTGCGTGGCGCGCTGGCGCTGCAGCGGCAGCGTTTGCGGAAGTGGCCGACCAGCTGTTGCAGCCCGAACCGATCGGAATCTTCTCGGTTATTGTATCAAACGCATAAATCTCATCCTTTATTGCTGTTATATGCTAAGCAGGACGAATCCACAGGGACGGGTTACGACGGACAGGGGTATGAGAAACACCGTAGCCGCGCAAGAATAACTCGTCTTTCTTACAGACGGATGCGTTCGTTGCATACTAACGCACCGTGTATAAGATATCCCAGATTTCCCTATTTTCCTTTGACTTCTGCTACGCGGATCCGAACATTTATCCAACGGTATACAAGCGAGATTTACTTTTTTAAATGAAATATTGTTCAAATTTGCCGAGAAATTTCACATTCCTTGAAATAAAACGAAAAGACATATGAACATGGTAAAAAATCTCATTCTTATCTCTCTTTCTCTCTTTCTTGCTATCACATGTATATCGTTGATAGTTCAGAGTTAAATAAATCCATTGTGCAAAAAATCCATTAAATTTTCAACCAACGAGAAGAGACCGCGACTCGCGTTTTTGTTTCTCCTAGTTTTTTTGATGATCAGGATAATCCTTGTTAAACTTATTTAATTTCAAGACTGGTTAGCCTCGCTAGCTGTTTGCGGAGAACGATCGTTACCGCTGATTTATACGCTCATTCGTTTTCGCGATGGACCCTTCCACCGCGTTAGCGTGCCGTTAGACATGTGTAAATACGCGTGTCTGCATAGGTGTATGTATATTTAGGTACAGTTCTCGGCATGGCACAAATGCCACAGACGTGTTTGCCACCTTCTCCCTTCCCGTTCTTTCGTTCTCCCGATTTCCCCGAATAACTCCCCCGGGCTAATTTCGTACATTGCGCGACACTCGATTCTCGGGACGAAAGGTGGAAGGCGGAGGATTCGTTAAAAGTGCTCCGGAAATAGGGATTTTTTTCGTTTATTAATGAGCGCCAGTGTAAACTCGTTCTGGTGGAGCAGAGCATCCGAACCATTTTGTCATTCGTAATTGATTGTTGAGCTCGGCGTACTCGATTTCTCGCCAGACGTTCTTGGCAGACTTCATTTCCACAAATGAACGATATCGAATGATATCAAATAGATATCGTTCATCAATTTTGTAGACTAGATATAATACTATTTTTTACACGGGGGAAGCAATTTTTATTCTCGATGCAAGTGACTCGCGATTCCGAAAATTTTGTACCACGATTTATGGTAATAAAAAAATGCGCGATATATTGAGTAATCCATTTGTCTCGTAACACTTGCCGTGTACCGTGTAATTTATTGCTTCTGCGTTACGTTTGTTCGTCGGTGACTATGTTACTGCAGTGCATGCGAAATATTGTCATCTTGTGTGTGCGTGTGCGTGTGTGAGAGAAAAGAGAAAAATGATAAAAACATCCAATCACTGTTATTAGCTCGATATGGTTATTGCATACGTACACATTGCTCTTTCCTATTTCCTGGAAAAGAAACTGCATTTTCTTACGATAAAGAAATTTCCTAGTCGGAGCACGCTGAATATAAAATAACTTAAAATTAGCTTTTCCGTTAATGAAATCTTCCTCTCTACGTGGCACCACCATTCTCATTGATATCATTTGAATTCTTCTCACGCCGATATATTTCCCGCACTCTTTCTACGGATGGTGGGTTTTTTTTCATCTTTTTCAAAGTTTCCTGGACGATATTATAAATTTGAAACGCCGCGCATTCGAGCGCTGAAAGCGTTGAAAGCCTGGTGGAATATTTCTCACGATCGAATTGCACTCTCGTATATATCGATGCCATTCGGAAAAATTGTGTTTTTCTTTTGCAACAACAAAAAATACAGCAATCTCTCAGTTCATTAAAATTTATATCCATATTTGTAGATATTATTTATTGATTTTTGTAAATATTTTGTTATAAAAACAATATCTGATATTTACAAATAGTTTTTGATAAAGTCAGTAAAGTTCAGATGAAAAACGTCGCTTGATGAAGCACAAAAAGATGTTGAGAATTTTAACTCAATACTTGTATTAATATATTTATTTTTCCGGATTTTTCGTCTCTCTCCTCTGAGAGAGTTTGGTTCCACGTTTTTGCGTGTAATTTCATTTTGAATAAATTTATCATCACGAACTCTTGAAAAATCTCTTGAAAAGCGACGTTAAATTATAAGCGAAATGCATAATATATCCGGGATTTTGTTTTGACAAGAGACGCTGCGGACCCTGCTGCTTATTTCTTCGAGAAAAGAAAAACTGTTGGTCGCTAAAAAGCTCGACGTAAAACGCGCACTACGGAATATCAAGGTACACAACGCAAGCAAATATTTCCTGCTTATTAGGCTGGAATATTGAATTTCCTGTTTCCAGAGAAGGCTGGCAACTCTGTTATTTCGTTTGCTTGGCGGAACGACGAAGTTGCGATACGCGCGATTTGATTTCGGCAAAATTCCACATATTTTGAATTTTCAGAATGTTTTCTCTAACTTGAAAAAGAAATTAAAGGGAATATTTGTTATTTTGTGTATATTTTGAGACAGTTAGAATAAAAATATAGTTTTTTTTCTATATGTTTGAGGTGGAAAAAGGAAATCTTGACTACGTTATTAATTTACTTACCCAGACTCTGTCGAGAAAGTTTTTGTTTCTCGTAGCCGCGCGTACACACAAAACGCTTGGTTATCCTTAAATCTGAAAAGTTGGACAATAAAACTCAGCTGCTGCTGGGAACGTAATTGTAGAGTCGCGCAATGAAACGTAATGATGAAACTTAGGCGAAATTTCCGTCGGGGGCAAAGAGTCCGTATCGTTCAAAGGCTCGTCGTAAAACTTTGGAAAGTGCATAATGCAAAGCGACGGGGGAAACAGCATGACGGAGACAACTCGCGAATTCTTGCGAGAGCTTTCGCGAGTCACCCAGAAGGGTGTTTGAAATTTCTTACGAGAGAGTGAAACTTAGCGCGCGCGGCGCTGATCGCGCGTGCCCATATTTTCTGGTAATTTTTCTTCCGCAAAGAAGTTTTCGACAGGTGAAGAGGAGGACACGCCGTATATACATCATCTCATCTCGCGGTTCTTTTGTCATACACACACCGTTGAGATTCTTAACAGCTATTATTACTTCTGCTTACATTTTGTGTCTATGTAATTTTTTTGTAAACGTATTTGCATATGATGTATCTTGTAATTTGCAAATTGAGCGGAAGCAGCTGCGCGGCTCTTTCGTGTAATTAATTAGCATACGCGTCAGTAGGAGTTACATTCCGTGTTATTATGCTTATCATCTTGCATAAGAGAAATGCGCGAGACATTTTCTCCGGGAGTGAAAATTCTTGATGACATTTGCAAATGAAATCAAGCTGTTAAGGTACTGTCTCTTCCATCTTGTTCCGCGCTATTTCCACCAAGACAATGCGACGTTACTTCCGGCCTGCTCGCATTTCGTGGTTGTCTCGCGGAGACGAATGACAGTGATATTGCTGCTGCCTCGCAATTAATCTGCATACTGCTCTCCCCGGTCTGCGGTATAGCGATTTGTTCCGCCCGGGCAGCACGAGAAATATGAAAAATCATGGAATCTCTGCGTGCGATCTTATCAACTCGATAAGATTTTTAAGAAAAATATTCAACTAATCTGTTACGTTATTTAAAAAGTAATCAATGCGAATTATTAAATTCTTTTGTACTATTTAATAATAATAACTTGTCTGTCTTACGGTCTCCATATTTGCCACAGAATCTGTTCCTCTTACGATAACATTAAGCGCACATCTCTCTCTTTCTCTCTCTCTCTCGTGTATCTCGGCGTTGGATGCTAGAAGCACGTCTTGCACTGACATTTGCAAACGATATTAGACTGTATTAACGTACCATCTTCCATTTACGTGTCACTTAGCGCGCGCGCGAGAACGAGTAAGAGAGAGAGAAAGAAAGAGAGAGGGAGAGGGAGAGAGAGAGAGAGAGAAACTGAGCCTTGTTCTCACTCCTTGTGTGCGTTAGCGCAGCCGAGCGAAGTCAAGCTGAGATGAGACGAACCGAGTCGAGACGCTTCTAAACTAGTTCCAAGTTAATCGGTGATGGCGTTACCATTATGGTGTAGGGTTGCGAGAACGCGAGAAGACCAGAAACCTCCTGGACAGATAGTCTATGGGTCTCGCTCGGGAAAAGGGATAATTTGCATTTTAATTGCACCGACAATCTTCTTTGCCGCCTTCGTCGCTGACACTCGTACGCGTCTCTCAAACTGGCTCTTTTCCCGTTCCGCTTACAAAGAGCTGTCCGAATACCGTCGACGGTTTTATTTACGTTCGTCTGTGCTATAACTGCAGATCTCGTGCAAAACGTCAACTTCGATACGTATGTTCGATAATTAAACGTGACACTTTTTTCTCTCGTAAACTCTGAAAAAAAACGTGACGTTCCTTTGTTTCTCTTCTATTTTCATCTTTTAATCTTTGTGACATTTAACGAATAACGAATGTGTAAAAGTTCTCGTGAAAGGATAATGACGAAATTTTCGTCGTTAGGTTCTCTCTTATATCCTCTTTGAGCTTTTAATAAATTTTCTACAGCGGGAAAGAGATAATCGATGATTCACAGGCATATAACGCGAGAACGGATGGGAACGTTACACTATCCTGCAAAAGACACAAAATAAGTTGGTGCAAAATACAAAATACACACGTGGACAGAAAATTTTTAACATATTATCACTTACAAAAGTAATTTATATATCAAAATATATACATACAGAATAATACACATTTATTTATGTACATCTTATTGTTCTTTTAAAAAATTTGTCTGTTTTATATATAAATGCGTGGAATAAGTTTTTTTTGTGTTTTCCAAATATATTTATCTTTTTTTTTTTAATATTTTTAATAAAATAAATTAGACCATTTTGAAAAGAAATAATAGATATCACGTGACTAAACAATGATTGGAAACAATACGTCTCTCTTGTGGGTATTGCAAAATAAAATACAATAAAAAATATATTCACATGTATTCAAAATAATTATTAATCGCAATTAATGCAGTACGTAGCGAAAACAAAATGTGATTATACGTCAAAATCTTTTAGACGATCTTGTGTGATTGATGTGTAATTAAAAAATACATTCAGATTACATAAGCTTCACATTTACGTGTAAAATATAGAAGCGCGTAATACCTCAGACTTTTATGTTGTTTTGGGGGAAAGTGCAAGATATTTTGTCGTACATATTGCCGGAAAAGCTATTTCATAAGTCAGGCATATTATTGTTCACACGCACACGCACGGTTAGCTTGCACTTGTAGACGACGTCATAACAAATTTGCCTTAAGAGCGGTTGTACAAACTCGTCTTCGCAGTCTCTCGACGTGGAACTAGTTTAGATATACATAATTATCAACGGTGCGCGACAGTCGGATACGCACTAGTAGCCACGATATCGCAGTCTGTGCTTGTCTTACGACCTGTGTTACCGGCTATCAGGTAGCGGTTCTCTCGCTACGAAGGGGAAGGTAAAGGTCTTCCTTCCTGAATTCATTCCGCAGTCCATCAGCATTTCCCTTTGCTATTTGCCCTTGGAATTATTCAAGTCGATCTACCTCTCTCTCTCTCTCTCTCTCAGTCGGTTGAGAACCAGAAAGTAACAAGAATCTCTCGGTGTTGACACAGATTGCAGCTGTCTTAAATAAATACCAGTTGCGCACGCGCGACTGGCGTTTAGTACACGGAGATAGCTTCTTATTTTAATATTTCACAGAATGTACAGAAAAGATTAGAGCATCAAAGAGTAGTTTAAGAGCTAGCGAGACATAAATAGGTTAGTACGGCGCACGCGATTTCCTTAGAAAAAAAAAAGTAAATACTTTACATCATTGGTCAAAAAGTGTATTTCACTTTAATTCTTAAATGTTCAGTTTCTTCAACGGGAGTGAATACACGTCAGCCGTGATTAAACGCAACCGTTTCCCCAACAAGCGCACCACGGCACATTACCACTACTCGTGCTGGTCTTGCGAGTTTTTCCGCCTGTAATTTCCCGACTGCTGACCGAGTTCGTTCCTTCGCGTTCCGAGTGCAGCGCGGCACCTTCCGTCAGCACTTTGTCCCTGGTTGCGTCCACGCTGCCGCTTCTCGAAGTTTTTAAGGACGTTGGAGACGATCGTCTCTTGGAATTGACGTAAGATATCCTTCGCGTTTGATCTTTGCGCGGTGATTCCTGTCCCGAGGATGACGATGTCCTGCTCTCGTTCTTGTCCTCTTGCGCGTCGGTCGCGCTCAATCGCTTCGGTTTCTTCCGTGTTATTTTTCCCGGTGAGCCTGGTGTATCCGTTGAAGTGATACTTCCTTGTTTCTTCAATCTTCCTTGCACCACTGGCGGCGCCTGATCCTTGTTCCTCCTGACAGGTTTCTTCCGTTTCTGTTCGTTTGGTGAATTCGGCACGTTAACCGTTTGCTCGTCGTGACGCTCGTCCTCGTGATAGGAGTCACCGTCTATCGATGTCTGCGTTTGCGCCGGTACCTTCATGACGGTATTGTCGTAGTACATAATTCCGCCCGTCTGGGGATAAAATTGACCGGATCGTTCAATTCCCCGCGGAGCGAATGGAATGTTTTGATAGAGATTTTGCGTGCAGCGATTCAGTCTCCTCAGAGTTGTCAAGTCGTAAGGAGCGGCAGGAGGTATCAGCGTGCAAGGACTCGGTTTTTCGAAGGAAGTCATCTGAATGTCTTGCTTGCCGCCCATCAATTGATCGCTCGGCATCAGCAGCCGATTTTGATCCGCCAAGTGAGCAGCGGCGCGAAACCTGTCATTTAGATGAACGCCTCGGCTGTAGGTTGACATGGGGTAGCGATAGACGTCATCGTTCACCTGAATGGAGAGTGGTGACGTGGCGCGAGGCGGAGGTGGGTTCGGTTTTACTTGATAGCCGCGATTCATTTTGTCAAAGGTTCTCAGGAAGGGATTTCTAAAGATACGGTAATCTATCGAGGGCAGATTGGGAACCTCCGGCGTTTCTGGACTCGGTGCCTGCTCGACTCGCGGTATCTTAAGCGTCACATTCAAATGACTCTTGTACGGTCTCGAGCCGCCAGTTATATTGTCCAGAGTGTTGTCGCTCTTCGCGAGCACCTGCGATTCGACCTGATTGAGTTTCAGCGGCATTGCAGTCTGAGATTCGCTCGACAGATCTTGACACGACAACGATTTTATCAGTTGATTACCTTTGCCGTCCGAAATCAGCAGATTATTAGTGCTCAGAAACGTTTTCGAGTTATCTCTGTTCTCGTCGTCGCAAGGTATCGCGCCGTTCACGTAGATGTCCGCCGAACCTTTCTGCCCTATAAACGGATTAGTTCTAGAAATCACCGTGGAAACTGTTTTCCCGCTGCTCGAACTTGTTCCGGTGCCGAAGTGACTAGTGGTCGGTGATTCCTCCTCCTGTCTCTTTAGCTTGAACGGCAACGGTGCGAAGAAGTGTTTTGGCTTTTCCGACACTGTTGCAGCGGTTTCCTCGACGTTTTGACTTTGACGTTCCCCCGTGTCTTTTTCGTCATTCGCTATCGATTTCTTCCTGTCTGCGAAATCTGCAATGACGTCCCAAGCGTTTCTACCAACCGGTTCCTCGGAACTCGAAAAGTACGTCAGCGAATCTTGAATAGCCGACTTCTCCTGGAGTTTCGAGTGTTGTCTGGTGATTGCGTTCGTTCTCCTGGGAAAGCTAAAGGCTTGATTCTCCACCAAAGGAATCGTTGTCTGATATTCCGACTGGGACTTGCCCGTCATCCACGTTGTCGAGGAAACAGGCGCGACTTTCGTACTTGTATAAAACGACGGCATTTGTTCGTTCTGAGTAATCGTCACATTACTCTGCCACTCGACGGGCGGTACATGAATTTGCGGTAACATCGGATCGGCGGCTACTTGATCCGGGCCGATGTTCGGAGGACGGTCGTCTAAACCGGCCAGCGGGATCAATGGATCAGATTGTAATCCCGAACAGGGCGAGGCCAATAACGTGGGCAGCATTAAATCGACCGTACTTGGGAACGGGCACTCGGTGTAATAACTGGTTCCGCTGAAACCACTCGCTGGTTCGTACGTGGCCGGATAAAACGGGATGTTATCGTGAAGTTGCCGGAGGCCGTGAATCGGCGGGGGTGGATACCGGACGGCGGAACCGCCGTCGTTTTTCTGACCGTCCGACGACGACGAGGTTGCCTCCTTTTTCTCCTTTTCTTTCTTCAGCTCCTCCTCCTCGTCAACGACCGACAGATCGTCGAATTCCACGTGAAGCCGATGCAAACTGCTGCTCATTTTTTCAGAAGAGATCTTTTGATTCTCCGCGTTCTCTAGCTGCTCTTCTTGGTTAAAGTCCTTAGTTCTCTCATTACCTTCGTACTCCTCTTCGTCCTCTTCGCCCTCCTCGCAGGAAAAATCCGACTGCGGCTCGTCATCCTCTTCGGAGCGATCCTATAATTAATTTTCACATATCGTTGATTATATTGAATATTACTCGCGACGCGTGCACGAAGACGCAGAGATAAATCAGATACGCTTTGATTTTGTTTTTTTTTATTACATGAATTAATCGACTCGCTCACCTCGTACTCTTCGCTTTCGCCGCCGTTTTTCTGTCTCTTCAGGATATCTTCGAGCTTGTCGTACTCATCCCTAAGGCTCCATATCTCTCGACGCAGCTGCTCGTTTTCCCTGCGCAATTTCTTGATATCGTTCTGACCTGAAATCAACGACGGATTACGATAGTTCAGCACATCCGTAAACCGAAACAAGCGATCGAGTCTACAAAGTTTGTAGGAATAGGCCAACAGATTCGTCTCTCGCATTTTTTCCTCGTGGAAAATCACTTAATCACTATCCGGGCGCGCGGAAACCAGCAACGTACGGCTGCTCGCAATACGCGTTGCACTTATCGGAACGATCGATCATTGGTCAACGCAGCAACAATCTCCGCCTGAGAAGTCAGGCTCCTCTCTAACCCTTCGCCCTTTCGTGCGTCAAGAAGCCGGTGATAAATCACCAAAGCCCCGTGCCTTCCAATTACTTAACTTCTCAAAGAGCAGAGAAAAGAGAAGAGAGATAGAGAGAGAGAGAGAGAGGAAAGAGAGAGGACAAATAAAGTTCACCGCCCACGCATATAATGCGTTGCAGTATATTTGTTGTTGAAAAAAAAACAGCGAATCACATTTATATAAAATATCAATAATAGAATCTCTTTTACCAAGCGGTTAAGTTTTTTTCTTTACGTGCAATTAGTTTCATAATTTTTCCATCTCGTATAAAATATGCGCAATGATTTAAAAAAGAGTCAGGTCGATATTCGCGATAGCGCTCCCACCGTTGACGATTATTTTCAAAAGGCACGGAATGTTTTGTGCGGCTTATCGGTTTGTTTTTTTTTTTTTGCGATAACGGCGCGCGCGTATAAAAGTTGCGAACACACGTGATAACAATTCCCTTAAGCCTAGAGGTTAAGTGCGCGTGTAACGAGAAAAGCCGTGTGGTAAATCAAGATTAAAACCTGGGCTTACCGATCTGAAATTTAAATAAATTAAATCCTTCCGGAGGTTCATAAATTTGGATTTCCCCGAGGACACCGACGGTTATTTGGGCGCTATTAAAACTTGGATCCGACATTTATCTTCTGCATGAGCCTCGCTTGCGAAAATGATATATGTTCAAATATATACACCATAATTGACCATTTTGATTGTTTATTCATCGATAATAGAATATGAATATATCGTCCAACAATGCACAAGTATATTAATTTTGCAATTTTCGTCCGTATGTATGCAAATATTTGTTTGTTCAGCAATATTCTGTAAAAAAAGAATAACCTCTATTCTGTTCTATAAGTACCTCCACGTAATTATACAAAATTTACGAATCTTCTCGTCATTACCTTTAAAAAGTTTGCTAAAAATTTTTAATAGTCAAACTTTAAAAACTCTTGCTTTTAAGTGAATTACGGCTGTTTCGACAATTATATCTTGAAGAAGTAATAAAAGTTGCAGTCACTCTGCGTTTGAAGCACACGCGCGCGAGGAGACCAAATATATAATATCGTGCGAGTTGTGCGATTTTATATCAAAATAACATGATGAGTTTTTATTCGAACATATACAAGAGTTTTCTCGCCGGCGTGGCTATTTTTAGCAGAGTACATTTCAATCAAGAAACCGGCTCAATATTGAGCAGGAACACGATATAAAGATGCTTTGGACGACGAACGGTGTTCATTTTATTTTGAACACAAGATGATTGTGACGTATTATGTCATAAAAATAAAATTGTTAAAATGTTTGTTCGTTTGTTCGTTCTTGATTCTCTCGCTCGATGTTTTTTTTGCGTTTTCGGTAAGCAATTCAATGTTTTGTCACAGAGTTAATTGTCACCAACGTTAATTAATGTTGGTGATTAAAAGAGCGTTACTGCTGTTTGCATCGGGAGACAAAGTACACACAAATGACGCACGTAAACTTGTGAATACACTTTCTTTTCCGAGAGAAAAACAAAGAAAAGAAACGCGAATGTTACACGAAGATGAGAGAGAATCCGCATCTTTCGTCGTCAACTTTGTCAGCGGTCTTCTTTCGTTTGCTGTGGAGGAACGTTTTCTCTCTGCAAAAGTGATCAAAGCTGCTGCGAAATACATATTTGGTTTTGCCAACTCGCCGTTCCTATCAGCGGGCCAGAATTTCTTCTGGTTCTTTGAAAAGTGGAAATTGCGTCCCGGCCGCGCCCGAGCACGAGTGCAAACGAACTCGTTCTCGGGAGAAAATATTCCTTTTCGTTCGAGGGAGAGGGAGGTTCGCTTTTCACATTTAGCATCGCCTCTGTGACTGTGCGTTACTTTGAAGCGAGAGACGATTTTCGCGAATACGAGAAATATCCTACAGCGGTCTGATTGATCTCACAGAAAATTCTGCGCACTTGTTTACACGCAAGTCTAGTATATGTATGATCGAATCTGCTAACGATAAAGAGAGCGACCGAGATAAAACGGTATAGAGAGATGCTTCAAACTCTAAATTTGATGTAATGTTGTGATAAAATTGACATATTGAGATATATATATTCCAAGAAATACACGAGAGAAATTATATATATAAAATGTATCTACACGTAAATATACATATATAGTGTGCAAAATAAAAATTTCTGTATCATATGTCGAATTTGGCTCTCAGTGTCATTCTATCTATAACGATGGCCGCGAAAAATGTCACTGTGGAGACCACAGTCTAGACCAGGTAATCTAGATAGACGTTCGTCACGTTTAACCACCACTTCATTTAAGGCCTGCATATAGCTCATAGTTACCGTGACCGCGGCCCTTCTGAATATAATCGAACGTGACACGAGGCTGTCTATCTGTCGGTTGTCGAGAGTGTTCCCGAATTAGATCACCGCCAATATCTTTCACGTAAATTATCGCTAACAGACCGGTGTCGTAACACCGAGAGTTTCTCCCGAGCTTTCGAAGGAGCTATATAGCGGAAGTTACTTCACAAACAACACACAGGTAGTATCACATTGCTGTTAACGAGCTATGATTTGATATTTGTTTTTTTTTTTAGAATGAAATTTGTTAACAGCAATGTGATACTACCGTTGCTATCTGTGCGTCGTTTCGGATTACTTATCAGTCGCTCTCTCACACATCTTTCGGAAAAAACTTTTTTACGAAAATGTTCTTTTTTCCTTTTTATTACTTTAACCACAAAAAAAACTGGAAAGATAAATATGCTCCCAATCTCGATTTCACTGAATCCTGTTATCGAATTTTATCTCGCGCCGTGTTAAAATTGGGTGGGACCAGTCGAGGATCGCGGATCGATCGATATCTTTCTCTCTCGAAACGGGATATATTAATACTCGACGGTCGCGAGATGGCAAAACTGCCTCGTAAATATTTGATCCCTTCGTCTGGTTTCTTTTTATTTTTTCTTCCTCCGAAGATACAATCTGGCGTCTCGCGAGAAGTGTAAAGAACCGAACTAACGAGGTGCGGATCTGAAACAAGCGGACTTTTTTATCTTCGAGAATCGGTGTTTGAAATTGTGTATGTGTATAGACACAGGTATGCGCGAACGACATTCGGATTAAAACAGCACTTATTCACTGTCCGACAAGTGGACTTTTTTTATACGTTCAACGTGATATTAATTATTGTCATTCTCTCAAATTGTGCAAGTGTTTAAATTCGCGATATCATGTACACAATTTATTTAAAATTTTTTGATCAAGGCTTTTTTTTGCATAAAAAGCAACACGATTTACTTGATCGAGCAGCTTGTTGACGTCTTTAGATCCTAGATCCCACGAGTTTATAACTAAATGCAGCGTTATATATGCAAAACTATCGCCACGGGGGGTTACCTGTATCATTGACAGAATGACGAACGTCTCAAGTGGTCACCGGGTAAACCGAAAGCTCGTAAATCAGGAGATATTTTTCATTTCGATGTTCAAAAACGCACTCTCTTTTAGTTTGTTTTTTTTTTCTCATACTTGGTATTAATCAACCGTCGAAAAACTTGTTAAAAATATTAATTGATCGTTTCCCTTGGTCGACGAATAAAAACTTTTTGGGAGAATTCTAATAATATCCTATTCGCCACAAAGAATTTGTAAAGAGCGCGCTTTCTCAAAATCCAATGTTTGAAAATTGGGGAAAAATTTATTTGTTAGCCAATTAGCCGGTTCCAAACAATATCGGCATAGAATATGCGCGATCTAATTGGTTTTGGGACAAACCACGAGGCATACACGTGAAACGTGTATACAAACGATACCATCGATTGATTGACGCGGAATACACAACGCTGTATGTACAATGAACGCCGTCGAAATAAGCTATCGGTGCTGTTTACGATTCGTTTGGCCGATGGACACGTAGAGATATTCCTGCGTATACGCGTTTTATAGCCACTAGAATTCTGACACGTCTAAATTATCGTCGTAGGCAAAACGGCGTGTATGTATATGCACACGCGTGCGTGCCCATATATCCCACGAGTATATTCCTGGACCGCGTAGGGTTCTATAGAATTTCCGATGACGTCTCGAGAAGGCAGTGACTCTCGCGCGCGCACCGCAGCCAATTCTACACAATCGTGCCAAAATATTTACTTGTATGCACTCAAGTGTATGGTATTGATAATATTTTTAATGTTTTTGTGAATTTCTACAACAAAAAAAAGCGATGAGCCGATAAAATGTCACATTGTCTACAAGTTCACTTATTTCGATTAAATAGTTACAGATTTACACACATGTAACATCGCGTTTTTTTTCATTTTATTTTTATTTTTGTGCGTAATTTCAATTTGCTTTTCTTTATTTATTTTGGGAGATATAAAAATGAAGGAGAGAATTGTAAATTCTAGCGAATGAATCTAACACGTTCGTGTTGTGTATTATATTTCTTGCAAATTAGTTTTCGAAAAAAAACACTATAAAATACATTAGCGCTCAAAGTTAAATAGCTCCACATCACGAGTAAAATTTGCGGCTTGAATCTCGGCAACAATAGAGCCATAAAATGTGAAATTTATACGATGAAGTTTGAAAGTTATTTTTTAGCAAAGGGAGAAAGAGAGGGTGGAAGAGAGAGAGAGAGAGATACACTTCAGACACTGTGTGCAAACCGGGATGAAAAGAGGATCGACCTGGAATTTTCATCCGCAGCTCGAAAGTTTCTGTGCAAGGTAGTGTTTGCCGATGCATACGATCATATACTTTGCGTGCGCGATTCTCGATCGAGCACTCGAAAAGCACGAAGCGTCTCGCGCTCGCGCTTTGTAAATGCGACAACGCTCGTGTTTGTCCGCGACATACTAGATTTTTATGAAAGGCTTCGCAAGGTGTCTCCTGACACCTTTTCTAGGAACAGAGACAACGCTTCTGTGTCGCAACGAGCTTTTGTTTTCGCTCTGAAAAGCTCCTCTCATCTTTTGCGCTTTCAACGTCCTTTCTACTTTTTCACTCGCACTGACACCAGATGCATCAAGTGCACTAAAAACTGCAGGCTTTCGTATTTGTTACTGATAAAATATATTTCGTACTTTTTTACAAAGTATAATACGATCGCCGAAAAAATGTCTCTCTGTTTCTTTTTTCTTTGCTGTTTTAATCTTTTATACAACATTTGGATGCGAGTTCGAAACACGCGAGTGAGAAACTTCAGCGAGTGAAGACAAGTTCTCGGTCCCGCCGTATGTGTCACGTGTCCGGAATTACTTTCGCGTCTAAATTTATTGTCGGTGAAAATCACATTGTACATTCAAGTTTCTGCGAATCTGCAGATATATCTACGTTCTCTTCCACTCCTGCCAGCATCTCGCTCACAAAGTTCTTATGCTAATTTCGTGTAAGTGAGAGAACAGAAGAGAATAGGGGTAGAGAAGGAGGAAGAGGGTAGAGTCACGTGTTTTCGCAATAAATAGCGTGTGCCGTTGACATCACGTAAATGCCATCGTGTCGCCCGCATTTGCGCGGCGAGTGCGCTCGAATAACGGCGCGCATCGGCATGTATCACTCGTGTATCGGACTCGTGTCTTGTGCTCGTTGATTACGATCCGTACGTCGTTACCGTAGAGCGGGTTCGTAATTATCAGATTTCAATGCTAACGACAACTGCTTTAATCTTCTAGAAATTTACTTTTGCGCGCGAGAGAAAATTACACGCGCGCTGGAATATTGGGCTCGCAGTTTCAGCGCCCTTTTTTTTTCTCAAGGAATATCTCCCTTTATGGCGCATTCGCGCGATATAGACGGCTAGGTATATGTACTTAGAAAAGATCCAACGATCTCGTAAAGAGATCGCTTCCCCTTGCGGCTGCGGGTTATAAAACCTTTGATTCGCCCGCGAATTCAATATCGCCGCGAGAGAGAGTGATAATACTGTCGTCTTGGCGAATGTATCTCTGTTCTGCGTCACCTTTCGCCTTTTTGCGCTCGCGCTCTTCCGCCTGTGAAAAAATTCCACGCCGCATGAGAGTCGTTATGACAAACTGATATTTCCCCGGCTATATACAGAACGACATCAAAAGCGACCTCGCGCGCGCGCGCGCGTGTACGTAGTGAGTTCTATCAGTGAAAATCGCATCCACCTGTGTGCGCCATAGACATTATCATGTCTCTTCCGTTTTATGAAGGAAAAGGTAGGAGAAGAGAGAGAGAGAGCGATCTCGCGACAAGCAGATGAGAGGTTGAGCAGAGGACGTAGAAGAGAGCGTATTAAAAACTTTTTTCATAAAAACGACTCCGCGCGAAGTAAGTACCGGGAGAAAAGGGTCGTTCTTTTTTTTACCGGTCTCGGCGCGCTACCGTTAATGACATTTCCCGAATTTAAACGCCTGTTTACTCGATGTTCACCAGCTCCGTTGTTGTTGCCAGAGAGTTGACAATCGAAATCCTTTCGACTCTCCCGAAGCATATTGTTTCCGATGCGTAAATGTTCTCTCGAAACACTGTGTATCTTGTTCATTTCTAGCGGTTGAAACTTGTGAAAAGAGAAAAACTTGAGCTGTTTAAAAGGAAATTGTGAATAAAAAAAAAAAAAAAAAAAAGAACGAAAGAAATCCAAGAAGATATTCGAATTCGTTATTTTAGAAATAACGTAAAAAAGAAACTCATACCGGAATTTCGCGACGAAGAGGAGAACGAGCTTTCTTTTCCCTCCCGCCTTATTGGTCTGCCCAAAGTGTGCCCGACGTCTGTCCAACTTCTCTCCATCATATTTCTTTCTTTCCATTTCTGTGTGCGCGCCTCGATGGGTGATTCCGCCTGATGACACCCTTTTGTTGTCTTGTTTCCGCGACTCCCGCGGCGATCTTGTCAGATGATCAGCGCGTTACGCGTGTGCGTGCACACCACCGTCTTTCTAATGGAGTCACGCATGTCCGATCGACGACGGCCGATCATTTCAACGGGTCAGATCATCAAATAATCCATCAGTGTTTCGTCAACAAATAATCGCTGGTTAACGGCGTGTCTGAACTTCATCTTCCGCAAGTTTATTCCGGGAAAGATCCTTGCGAACGGAAACAGCTGGTCGGTATTTTTGCAAATGATCCGTCGTTTAATTACATCATGCAACGTTCTCTAACCGATCGCTTTTTTCGTAATTATTCTTTATGAATTGCCGCGAGTTCTTTACCGTTTTTGCGCTAGTTGCGATTGTCTCTGAGCATTGCAAAACGTCGCTTGACGGCAAACTGACGGACGTTAATTATATCTCAGAAAATTTTTTTCTAATTTTTCATATCAATTGAGATCTGTATTAATTTTTTTAACGAGATGACAGTATCGGCAGCAATGAAGATTCTTGTGAAATTAATTGATCACTTTTTTTTTGGTCAGCGTGACAACAATTAGAATGCGGTCTGAAGTTGTTGAATTTTCTCATTTATCTCTTCTGGGCCTTTGCACAATGCACAGGCCTCGCGAATTCGTCATTCGCAGTTCCGATTTTTTGTTAAACGTCTTTTTCTTTCGCGTTACGTAACTTTGAGATGCGCGTCTATGCGCGACAACGTCGTCACCGTCGTCGTCGTCGTCGTCGTTGTCGCAACGCCGAGATATCACTTTTGTGGTTTTGAACGCCGACGAGACGACGTCGATGCGTCGGACTGATTCTGAACTCTGTTCCCGCTTCCGGGATCGCGCTCATGAGTTTGACAGCTTTCGCGAACCGTGAAAAGCGTGCCGATCGTTTTGAGTCGTCGGGCGAAACTAGTCGACGCATGACTACATCACTGCAGCACTCTTTATCCCTACCGCGGGTTACCTCTTCTTCGCGTCCGCTTCTTCTTCACGCGTCATGAAACTACGCTTCTCTCTCTCTTTTTCTCTCTCTCTCTCTTTCTCTCTCTGCCTCCCTCGAGACTATTTAAATCTTTTGTAGTCCGCCATATTACCACGACATCACCAGGACCGTGTCATTGCCTTAGGGCGAAACATCATATAGTTGTCAAGTTTGAATATTTTCCTTCCCAAACTAGAATATTTTTTATCAATATTTCTAATATTTTTTATTTTTAATATTTTTTATTTTATTGTATAAATTTATCAAATTGTTTTTAAAGTTCTCTATCAAGTTTTTCTCAAATCTATCTGAAGCGTTTCGGCATTGATCACTGTCAGTGGATCTTTCGATGTCGTTTTAGAAAACATCAGCGAAGAAAGAAGAAGCGTTCTTATAGTTCGTCTTCTTATAATAAATTTGCATGTAATAGTTCTTTTTTTATATTTGTTAATATAAATCTTCATTTAATTTTGTTTGTCTGGTTCGACCAATATTGTACAAAATCAAATTTTGTTGCCCCTCTGTTCTTCTTTCAATTATTTCTCTGCAATTTAATATCTTCTGTGACACGAGCGACTTGTTACTTTTTATGTCGGAAATAATCATTTTCAATATAACATGATAGTCTTGAAAAAAAAAGAAAAAAAATCAATGCGAAACAGGGAAGATGAAAAATGACAAATTGTTCATTAGACCGGCGCTGTTCATTTTTTTCACGCCGCAATGTAATCTATCAAGAGGTCGAGAAAGGACTCAAAATAATCTTCGTGCCTGACGTAGGTAGCGTCTGGTTTTCCCGTCGAGCGGGCATGAGAGACGAGAACACAGAAAAAGAGGGTCCACGGTAGATTGATCCAACAGTTTACTTTGAGCCCTCTCGGCAGCGTGCTGTCAGTTTTACTAATCGCGACGAATTGTTTTTTTTTTTTTTTTTNTTTTTTTTTTTTTTTTTCACGCCTCTTGTGCGCGATTCGGTGTTGCATAATGCATCGAAAGGAACAAACACTCGTGAGACCCACTTGATTTTGATTTGACGATTTAATTGAATGCGATCAGAGTACTATTTCTATATATATATATATATATATATATATATATATCATAAAATTAACAAAAACAGAATTTACAATTACTAATTATTTATATTACGAGATATCTGAGTCAGGATATTAATAGTTGAGCAAAATTTGAAGCTTGAAATTATATGTTGTTTGATTTAACGATGGATGGCTAAAGTTTGACGTCTCAGCGTTGTATGAGGATAGTAAGTCAGCGTTTAGCTTTCAGAGTCTGTACAGCGTCGACATCTGGACCGCGAGTTTCGAAAGAACAAACGCGCTACGCGCCAGAATATTTGCCAAAACAAAGCTTTTCTTGGCTCTCCGGGTAAATAAATTCCAGGAAAATCACGTACGCGCGATTCACGTACACTGTCATTCAACTTTTTGCATTAACGCTACACTTCTGCGCATCGGACACCGCTCGAACTCATTTTTCAAGTATACATTCAACGTGTACTTGATAAAAATTATGATACGGTGGTACCTACCATCGATCTTCTTCTCGAAAAAGTGCACTTAATCAAGCGATCGATAGCCTCTTGTGTGTCTTTGTGTGTCGCAAAATTTTTACTTCGTTTATTTCACTCTTCAAATTGATTGACATCGTTTCGAACGCGAATTAATTTTTAACTTCAAGTACTTGTGTTTTTTTTTTGTGTAAACTTTTAATTAACTTGTAATTTTTTAATGTGGATCTAACACGTTCACTTGTGGTTACAACGAATTGTTAGATAGTTTTAATTCTCTGGGTGTTTATCGAAGCACCGTTTTTCACATTAAAATAAATAAATGATATCGGTGACACAAATAAAGCAGACGTTTCTTCGTAAAGTAAGACGCGTTTGGCGTCATCTCGGGTGTGCTCGTGCGCATTTAGCAACTGAGTCAAGTCTGCTGGATCGAGTCCGCCGGTACTAGAAATTGTACCGCTCGCTTAACCCGAATGGACAAATTCAGCATGGGGCTGGTCGGGCTTCGAAAATAGTTTGCAGCAAGTTCGTGCGATTATATAGCCAACTTTGATCTGGTGTACGCGCCGTGTCTATTTGTAGATGGCACGATGCGGTTTATTAGATCCATGCCGTGTAATCGAATTCCCATGATATTATTTTATATATCATATACGTGAAACACATATTTGGCGTCGCTTGTTGCGCATCGTCCGTAATGACGAATTCATAATTAAAGAAAACTCGAACTGAATGAAATTTGCGAGACTAATGAGATTCACTCGAAATGTCTCTAATTTTATGAGGCAAAATAGCGACGAGCGAATTTATTAAATTTTGTTGAAATTTAAAACTTTTGTATCAATTAAAATATGTATTAGTATAGTTAGTTAATAATTTTAATTAATTAGTTAATAATTAGTTACTAATTAATTATTTAATTAATTTTCTATTCTTATAGTGTGGTAGAAAGTAGAAAAAGAGGAAAGAAACAGAAAACAGCGCAGCATCTTGCAGAGAGAGACAGATTCGTTCTTTTTTGTTGTAAAAAAAAAAACGTTCGTTAATTTTGATGGAATAATGAAAGTCTGAAACCGTCCCCTCTTCCCATGACATATATTAAACATTCTTTAACATGATAGTTAAATTAATCCTTGATTGCTTTGGCGCACACAATCTCGCTTCGGAGAATTAAATATTTAATATATTATTAGGCAGCCCCACCTAACGCGTAATGGAAATCCCTGTGAAATTAATTTGGCTCCCGAGTGTGAATCATCTATAACGTCAAATTAATAATTGAAGTAATAACGTTCTGGGCAATTGCGTTAGTAAAATTCGCTCAAAACATTTCCTGAATATGTTATGCGGGAGACAAAAATGCGTAAATAATTAACAAACCGAAAATTAATCTTAACAATGGCTGAAACCTTTCTAATGTATTGTAAGATGAAAGCGATCGTTTAAATAATATCTTCTTAAAGATATTGACTTTATTTGCCAAGATGTTTGATTGTTAAGCCGATGTTTTCTTATTGAATAAAAGATATAATAAACAATTTTTTTCTTTGTGGTGTGTGTGTGTGTTTTCTTCGAATATTAAAGATCCTAAGTAGGTTCAATTATCGCGGATATTATTATTATTATTATTATCGCGCAATCAATTTGAACAAAAGAAGGTAACAACGTCTTCTTGTGAAACTATGACTATGACTGTTCGCACATTTCAGTATGATTTTTTCCCTCCCAATTGGTCGATAAATCCGCGTTTCTTTACCTTGCTCCACCTCGGCATTGATGTGAATGGTCCTTAGTCTAAGCTCCTCATTCTCGTAAATCATCCCTCTCGAGGACTTCCGGTCGAGTTTTCTATTTGGCTTGACGCTGATGTCCCTCCGCCTGGTCCTCAGCATCCCACCGCCGACGCCGCCCACTCCCGCCCCCGCCATCATCTTTCTCCTTTTCCTGCGCCACTCGTCTTCCCGCACCGCGTGCGGTACGGTGTGGTGTATCACAAAGAGCGGATCACGACGAGAGGTTGTCGATTGTCCGCGGCGATCAGCGGTAGCGCAGCAGCGCGCGAACTCCCCTTGTCTTCCTCGTCTCTCGTCTCTCCCTCTCTTGAGAGAGAGAGACTTGGGCGAGAGGCGCGAGCTCCTCGTGACTATTTGATCCTCTGTTTGATCTTCGGCGTTGCTCGAAGAAAGTTTCGAGGAGATGCGCGCCTGCCCGGACTGTATGACTCGCCACTCGATGTTCTTTTCCTATATCGCACAGGCAAATCCTTGGTTTCGTCTCGAGGAGTTTGCCTTTGATATATATTTTTCGTTACTGTATTTATATATCATCGGAATATTTTTCTCACTTCGGAACATTACTTTTTTTTTTTTTTTTTTTTATTGTTTTGTCTTTACCCCGAACACAATCGCAGCACTCTTCGTCATCCGCTTAGAGCTCGATGAACTGTTTTTCCATCAAGAATTGCGTGTAATAAAAGTAAATAGTTTTTACTGGTATATTATTGTAACATTTTTTGTTATTATCACTGGAAAATCACTCGCAAAGTATATCTTGAACCGCTGGCATATTTATTCAGACAATTTCAAGTTTTGTTGCTTTTATATTGTAGTTCGGATAACTGTAGAGTTGAGAGAGAGAATATTTAGTTGATACAACAAAACGAGTAATATAATCTCTTGTGTTTATACTTGTTGTTATATTAACGTAGACCAAATCTTTTTCAATGCTAAATGGCCAGTTTCCACGTGTATTTCGCATCTTTTCCCGGACGACATTACGGACACGATGCGGACGACGGTGCGATCACCTTCGTGGATCCGTTACCGATCCACGTGACGATGTGTTTACACGAAATTGCAACGTCCGGCAGCTCCGATCGCCGCGTCGCCCTCGCGGTCGAAAGAATTTGCATCCGGCACTCATTTCTCACGTGGTACTTCTCGCACGCAATTTGCGTCCCCATTACTCAGCGTTTATCAGCGCGTAAAAGTTCTCTTTTTTTCTTTCCGTTTTCGTTTCTCCTCGTTTGTCTTCTTTTCTTTCTTTCTCTCTCTCTCTCTTTCTCTTTTATTTTAATTTGTTTTGCACACGCAAGAGAATTTATTCTCGTCGCCCGGACGGATTTTCTGCAATCTTTCGACCGCGGCGATCACCGGTCGCGACTATCGCGACTCATTATATGAACGTTGAGACTCTTCGTCCCCCGAGCCCTCCAACAATTATTCACAAGGGATTTGAAATTGAAGTCTTTAGTTTCTAGTATCTGTAGCTTCTTTCTTCTCTTATCCGCGCAAAAATTGCTCTCGCGAGTACGATAAGTGGTTACGAGGGCGCCGTGGCTGCAAGACAATTATCCGCGATAACGCGCGTGATGTTC